GCTGCATTATACACGACATAAGACCTAATTAACAACGGTTCACTGGAATGACAGACACAACTTGGTTCAAAGGGGAGTATGCATGCACACAGAATGTCCAGACCGCACGAGGAGATAAAATTAAAAAAAAACACACACACAAACTCTGGACAACAGCAGGTAATGTTCCACTTCTTAATTTCCCATAATCTGCACAAACCTAGTTGATCTGTTATGGATTTTGTGTCACCTGATCTCTGTCATGCTCGTCACCTGGCATCCTGTCTTTGTGTATTCTAGTTGAGGCTGACGGTGGCTGAGGCAGTGGGCTCTATGTGCCACTTGATGGCCAGTGATAAACTGGAGGAGCAAATTCCCAAACTCATTCCTGCCATTGTGTCCCTTTACAAGAAAAACAGTGAGCACTACATCATTAGCAAGGTGGGTATGGACTGCAGCATCAGTGAGGTGGACTTTTATGGTTTTGAATTTGGTAATATGAATCATGTTTTAACAGCAGGCCAAGCATCATCCAGTATCAAACTGGCATCCTGGGTTTTTATAGGAACGAAATCTGTCTTTGAGCTTTGACATCATATAGTAAACTATTAAAGCTGTTCCATCTGTTGGAAGATAAACTTTTTTCTTCCCCCTTTTTGTTGCCTCCACTCAGAGTCTTTGCCAAGTACTTGATGCTTCTGTCGACATGGGCAGCAGGGTGTTGGAGACACAACTGGATAGTGTACTCTTCGTGCTACACCAACAGGTACACATTACTAAAATAAATACTGCAGCTTTAATCTTGCCTCAAATAAATCAAGTGACTGACGTATGACACAGATACTTATACAGTAAACGCATGCTTGTCTACAGCAGACTGTTACACAGCTGCAGAAACTATAAGACAATGTGCACTTTTTATGGTTAGGAAATGGGCAAGTACAGTGAGGAACAGACGTATTTGAACACCCTGTGATTTTGCAAGTTCTCCCACTTAGAAATCATAGAGGGGTCTGAAATTCACATTGTAGGTGCATTCCCACTCTGAGAGACAGAATAAAAAAAAAAATTCAGGAAATCACATTGTATGATTTTTAAAGAATTTATTTGTCTAGCACTGCTGAACATAAGTATTTGAACACCTGAGAAACAGCAAGAATTCTGGCTCTCAAAGACCTGTTACTGTGCCTTGAAAAAGTCCACCTCTACTCCACTCATTAATCTAAATTAGTAGCACCTGTCTGAGCTCTTTAAAGACACCTGTCCACCCCACAGTCAGTCAGACGCCAACTACTACCATGGGCAAGACCAAAGAGCTGTCAAAAGACACCAGAGACAAAATTGTGGACCTCCACAAGGCTATGGGGCAATTGCCAAGCAGCTTGGTGAAAACAGATCAACTGTTGGAGCAATTGTTAGAAAATGGAAGAGGCTAAAGACGACTGTCAGTCTCCCTCGGACTGGGGCGCCATGCAAGATCTCACCTCGTGGGGTATCACGGATGATGAGAAAGGTGAGGAATCAGCCCAGAACGATAGGGAGGAGCTGGTCAATGACATGAAGAGAGCTGGGACCACAGTTTCAAAGGTCACTGTCGGTAGAACACTACGCCGTCATGGTTTCAAATCATGCATTGCACGGAAGGTTCCCCTGCTCAAGTCATCACATGTCCAGGCCCGTCTGAAGTTTGCCAAAGACCATCTGGATGATCCAGAGGAGGCATGGGAGAAAGTCATGTGGTCAGATGAGATCAAAGTAGAACTTTTTGGTCTAAACTTCACTCGTCGTGTTTGGAGGAAAAAGAAGGATGAGTTGCATCCCAAGAACACCATCCCTACTGTGAAGCATTGGGGTGGTAACATCATGCTTTGGGGGTGCTTTTGTGTGAAGGGGACAGGACGTCTGCACTGTATTAAGGAGAGGATGAGTGGGGCCATTTATTGTGAGATTTTGAGCAACGACCTCCTTCCCTCAGTCAGAGCATTGAAGATGGGTCGTGGCTGGGTCTTCCAACATGACAACGACCCGAAGCACACAGCCAGGATAACCAAGGAGTGGCTCTGTAAGAAGCATATCAAGGTTCTGGAGTGGCCTAGCCAGTCTCCAGACCTCAATCCAATAGAACATCTTTGGAGGGAGCTTAAACTCCGCGTTGCTCAGCGACAGCCCCGAAACCTGACAGATCTAGAGGAGATCTGTGTGGAGGAGTGGGCCAAAATCCCTGTTGCAGTGTGTGCAAACCTGGTCAAGAACTACAGGAAACGTTTGACCTCTGTAATTGCAAACAAAGGTTTCTGTACCAAATATTAACACTGATTTTCTCAGGTGTTCAAATACTTATTTTCAGCAGTGCTAGACAAATGAATTCTTTAAAAATCATACAGATGTGATTTCCTGAATTTTTTTTTATTCTGTCTCTCAGAGTGGGAATGCACCTACAATGTGAATTTCAGACCCCTCCATGATTTCTAAGTGGGAGAACCTGCAAAATCACAGGGTGTTCAAATACTTCTGTTCCTCACTGTGTAAGGAAAACATGTCCTCAAGACTTAAAGTTCTCTGGCACGAGGATGTTTTTGATTTGAAAATCGATAGGATATTCTATTTGTTTTGTTTTCATATTGTCATGGTCTTTTGGACTAATCTGGCATCATTTGACAACAGTAGGTCAGTTATGCCCCGTACGATGTTGGAGACAAAAGGAAAAGTTTTAAAGAGGTGTACTGGATATTCTTTATGGTTTTGAAATTGTGCTCAGACTTAATAATAATATTACCAGACTAATCTCCGACTGAGGACAGGGTGAGTAGATAATGCATTTTTTTTCCTATTTGGACCTTTTAAAGTTAACGTGACCATCCGCATTTAGAAATGGTTATATTTGATGGTCCTGTCTGTCTGAAACGGGTCGCGGTATGGGCACAGCCATCATCCATGTGGCTCGAAGGCTACAACTTGCTAGGCTGTGTTTTTAATTATCTTAGACCAGTATCTTCAATTTGTTTTGCTTGTGCGTGTAACAGTAACCTACAGTAGGTATTCATTCACGTTCAGTTGTCGTCACACTATGCTCAGGGGTGGATCTAGAAAGTTTTGTTTGGGGTGGCCATGCTGGGGGCCTAGGGCACAGACTTGGAGAAGGGTGGTACAGTTAAGCAATAAATTATTAATGATCAAATTGTTAATTTTGTGTAAAACACGTGCACACACACACTTAGCTTTCTTAGCTAACTTTGGCTACACTCCTGTTTTAGCCACTTCTGGCCTGGGACATCACTGCTGCACAGTGGTTCCACCTCACTAAGGGTCAAGTAGCCTACTCCTCAACAACACAATCAGAGAAATAAATGCAAATATCATGCTGTATGCATGATATAAAATGAAACAAATTTGATCAATATCAATTATAAAGCACCGGGAATATGTTAGTTGTATTTAAGGCAATAATTTGTCATTGGTTTTCATTTCATTCATCAGTACTGAGCATCACATTTTGACTGTAGCAAGTGTGAAACCCCGCCCCTTGTGCCAACTTAACATTTCAGGCACAGAACATTTCCTTGCTTTAAGCCTTGTGTCCTTGATTGCCTAATGTTTTGGCATTTCTGAAACACACAGTTATTGTTAATTATAAAAACACTGTTGCAAATTGAGTTACCTCATTTTGGCATAAGTTGCTCTCACACCAGCTGTAATCCAGTCCTTGTGTTTCATAGAGAATAGACTCGATTGTTTGTTTTGGTCTTAAATTCACCTTATGCTACTTTCTTGTGTCAGATAACTGGCTGAGAGTTGCTGTAGTCAGATGCTTTCATAACCTTGTGACTCAGCTGACAGTTGGACTGAGGCCTTGACTGTTGCAACATTTTACCACAATGACGTAACCACTGATTTGTATTTGTGATCTGGAATGTGTTTCACTAGAATTTTACAGTGCCGGTGTTCCAGCACTTAAAGTTGTTTCCAGTTCATGCACCTCAAGTAGGTGACTGTGCTTGTACTTGGCAGTCTTAATGTGTGCCCTGGTTTTATAAAAAGAGTCTGTGTAATAAACCGCTCTCTTGAACACCACTTTTACTATTATTTTGTTCATTATTATTCTGGCATATAATGATGTTCGAGGGTGCACAAACTGACACAACTGTAACACAGAACAGTGTAAGATTTCCCTTGTTTCCCCCCAGGTGTCCGCTCCTGTCGATTACAACAACCCTCCTACAGTCAAGAACCACAATGAGGTTCTGCGCTGCTTCAGTTTGCTAGGTACTAAAGCTCTTCACTGGGTGCTTGTGTTTATGAGTGTATCTGCATGGTATTTATTGAATGTAGTTGCCACTACATTAAGTTGTGCAGATTTTTAAGATTGTCATGTAAAGTCTGTGGTGACAAAGTTAAGTTAATGGTAACATCCGACAGCATTAGGCCTGTCTGTTTTAGTTCTATGGAGTCACAAGAGCCATAATGAGATTCATCCACTTAGCATGCCAGACTTGGTGTCCTCCACAAGATAATCTTGTTAAGTGTCACAATCTTCTCTCCCACTCTCTCTGGATGGGCTTGTGTTTCCAGTGTTGTCCTTAATTTTTGTGTTTTCGTGAACATCTCTATATTTCACATTTTAATTTCCTCAGTTATCCTGTCACTTTTTTTCCTCTAGCAAAGTCATTCCCAGACCGGCTGGTTATATTCGTTCTTCAGAAGTTGGAGAATAGTAATGAGCGGAGCAGGATGGGCTGCCTGGCTGTCCTCCGCCACCTCATCAACTCCGCCAGTGAGGAACAAGCAGAGACATACACTCCCCAGTTCAACTTATCTCTTCACACTCCACACACATCAGTCATTAGAAAAGTTAAAAATAAGATGTTCAGTGTGCCCTGAATTAGATCATTGTATTAACTGTGAGCACAGTTGCGTGGTCTACATAATCCTCCTCTGGTTAACTGTCTTTTGTTATCTAGTTATTAAAGTGTTCGTGTGTGTGTGTGTGTGTGTGTGTGTGTGTGTGTGTGTGTGTGTTGCAGCGTCGACAATGGAGGGTAAGAAGCTGCTGATTCTGGCCAGTATTAGACAACCAATGGCTGACCACAGCAATAAGGTAAGATGCACGCAGACACACACAGTATGTGACTCAAATAGGTTCCATGATGTGACATAATTACAGCCTACACTGTGTCTGACCCTGTCTGTTACCCAGGTGAAGAAGTGCGTGGTCCAGGTTATCAGTGCAATGGCTCATCACGGCTACCTGGAGTTAGAGGGAGGGGAGTTATTGGTTCGATTCATAGTTCAACACTGTGCCTTACCCGACACATATCAGGTAACTGGGTACATTTCTTAGCTGTTTTGTTAAGTTAGGAAGTTTATATGTGTGGAAATTGTCAAACATTTCATCAGTTTCTGTATATTCTCATATACACTGAACAAAATTATAAATGCAACACTTTTGTGTTTGCCCCCATTTTTCATGAGCTGAACTCAAAGATCTGCGACTTGTTCTATGTACACAAAAGGCCTATTTCTCTCAAATATTGTTGACAAATCTGTCTAAATCTGTGTTAGTGAGCACTTCTCCTTTGCCAAGATAATCCATCCACCTCACAGGTGTGGCATCCTGACCACCACTGTTGGACAGCTTGCTGATGTATGTATAGTCTCCGCCTGTCGAGACATCTGTTTGATCTGCTGATACAGTTTCATATTTTTGAAGCTTGAGCTTTATAACGAAGTACTTGGGGTTAAATGATTGTCAGTTGAACAGCGCTTGCTGTCCATCGGGTGTGTGAGAAAGATTAATACGTTCTGAAACTTAATGTATTTTGTCATGTGCAGGTGCTATGGCCCAAAGTGTTGCGTTTATAATTTTGTTCAGTGTAGTTGGTTTTCGTGATTATATGTATTACAGGTTGCAGAGGGAGGTAATGGGATGAGCAAAAGTGATTTCTTTTTTTTTTTCATCTCATGCTTAAACAAAGCCATTAAAATGACAAAAGGAAAACAAATGTGCAAGATCAAATGTACAGATCAACTTAAATACTTAATCAGCTCATAGGTTCAGTCAGTGTAACAACTGATGTGGTGCACAGGTGTTGCATACCTGCACAAGCCAAAGCCTTTTATAACTCCCTAGATTAAAGAAATTGCACACAGAGATTTTAAATGCTTTTTGTTCAAATGTTAAACATTCAAAATCCAACATTCTGAATTGCAGATTGGCTGCTAAAGAAAGTGAATATGCATTTCAATCGGTGTATGTGCCCGTGTGTCTCCAGCCAGACCAAAAAGCCACTGATCCAGAGGAGGTGACTAATGAGTCACTAAGAGCAATGTGTGACAACACCCTTCATCTCCTGACCACCACTGTTGGACAGCTTGCTGATGTATGTATAGTCTCCGCCTGTCGAGACATCTGTTTGATCTGCTGATACAGTTTCATATTTTTGAAGCTTGAGCTTTATAACGAAGTACTTGGGGTTAAATGATTGTCAGTTGAACAGCGCTTGCTGTCCATCGGGTGTGTGAGAAAGATTAATACGTTCTGAAACTTAATGTATTTTGTCATGTGCAGGTGCTATGGCCCAAGCTGCTGTACTATCTGACTCCTTCACAGTACAACAATGCAACCACTCCTCTGTGTAAGAGTCTGATAGTGCTGGGCAACAAGAAGAAAACCAACCAGGAGCCCAGTTTCAACATAGACTTTACAGAGGAAGGTAGGAGGAACATTAACCGAGCAGGTGCTATATGGACGTTATCTGTTGATGTGTCCACACCAGTCATGAATAGGTGTAAATTATAAAAAGAAAAAAAAGCAAATGAATTATTGCACACTGAAAATTAGTCTGTTCTGTATCAACAGTTTCAAGCTAAATATGCTTCTCCTTTCTCCTCCAGTTAATCTGCCGTCTCCTCAAACTCTAACAATCAGACTGCTGGTAAGTACAGCCACATGTGTACTGTAATACCCTGCGGTAGTGTGTTGTACTTTTACACACACAGGCCAGTGTGTTTAAATTGTTGGCTAAAGTACACCTACTTTGTCCCTAGTATTTAGACTAAAGGCTCACTAATCATTCAGTCCGGTCAGATACTGGAACGACACACTGTCATTGTAATTAATCCACTGACACTCCTGGATTGATCTAATTACTAATCAGTGATGATTATTAGTTGTCAAGTCTTACTTTGTTTGATATTCCTGATACAATCTGCTAATTGGTTGTGAGGCTTTGAGAGTTTGCTAATCTTTATCATGTTACTCAGGTGTACTGCTGTTTTGCTAAAATTATTGTTGTAAATAAATAAAATGTGCCATCTTTAAGTTGAGATATTTTCTCTATCATTTATAACGTGAATGAATTAAATGTCTGTCTGTTTGGTCTGTGTCGACGTGTCCCAGGTGAATGCTGCATTCCCGTTCAGTAGCAGAGGTCATGGAGCTCCATCCCTCTCTCTCCTTCAGATTCTCAGTGTAAACATTCACCCCAAGACAGAGGCTCTCTGGGAGAAAGAGATTCCTCCTCTGCTATCTAAACTGGAGGGTATGGAGATATTCTGTCACTGCAGTGATACTTCACTTCTCTCGCTAATTGAGAACCTGGCTTTTCTGTACTGATATTATACTGACTGGACTTCATTTACAACATTTGGGGATTTGTAAGGCCCATAGGGGATATTTAGTAAATCTGTCACAAATTACCGTCAGCACTGCGGTTTTTCAGTTTAGACGCATATTTACCAATGATGTAAACGGGTACACCTGCAATACATGGCCGCTTATATGGACTCGGTGCTTGTATTGAGCACGTGGGGGCCGAGAGATTAAGAGAAAGGAGGAGATATTGTAAATTTACAGCGACTGAACATTAATATGTTTGAAAACTAGTAAACATATTCCAGAATGGCAGTCACCTAGTCTCCTGCCAGTCAAATCATCTTTTATTTTGTTGAGTAATTGAAGCAGTGTCCGACCTGAAAGCCTGTAAAAGTCGCTCACATTATCCTCTGTTGAGCGATACGATTTACAAACAAGGTGTCCCTCCTCAAACGTATTTTTAACTCTGAAAAGATCTTGGATGATTAACAGGTGCCATACTGACAACAGGGCAGAAAATTTCACACATGCTTTCTCCTGACAGTAAATTTCAGCCGCAGTTCCCTCTGTTGCTGCAGTGGCAAATCAGACACTGAGAGTATGTGTATGAATTTCTATTCTCTCCTCTCTGATTTTTGTGTCTCTGAACGGGAATGCCTTAAAATACATATTGCATGAGACCAAACGTGCAGAATCCTGCAATGCCGCTTTTCTTCTGTTTCTCTGGCACTAAACTCCTTGGTAAATATGAAAACACACAGTTTTGCTGTTTAGTGCCAAAAAATGAGCTACAAAGCCTTAGTAAATACCCCTAGTAGAGTAATCCAACAGCGTGTTGTTGTTATTGTTGTTGTTGTTTCCAGAGTCAACAGCAGAGAGCCTGGATAAGAAGCACTGGGAAGGAAAGCTGTTGAAGGTGGGTTTTCTATACTTGAGTAATACCCCATTCACATTTCATCTATGTCTTGCGTGTGAATAAAGCCAAAATATGGAGGTAATGGATACAGATGAATTTACCTTTTCCCCCAAATACATCTTAATAATTCCCATTTATTTTGCATTGATCCCATAATCAGTGGCAGTAGACTGAATGATGCTCATCAATTGTTAGGGAGGTTTAATCTATTAGAGAGGCCTCTTTTTTCATACAGAGGGATTATATCTGCTTTGATTTTGAAATCTGACTTGATTCAGTTAAAAGCCATTCTAAATGTGATAAATGTCTCCAGCTCTTGTCTAAAACCCTGACTACTATTGATGATGACAAATGGGTGTGTCAGTTGGCAGCTGAGGCAACAAGATATCTCTCCACATATAACAACGCCCTAGAGGAAAAAGTAAGTGCTTCCACCAGCTTTATTTCACCCACACATCAAGATCAGCTTATTGCAAACTGTTGCTTTGATATAACTGTCAACGTTTGTCCAGTGACATTAAATCAGTTTATTTATTGCTTTGAGTTGCTAACCTCAAGTGTAAACCTTGAACACTGTTACATACAGTTAGTGTTCTTCATAAAAAGGATATATTTATAGTACAGGTTCTATGTCTGCTAACGTGAAAGTCATTTCATGACCCCCAAATATGCTTTTCCAACCCAATGAGTGGTCCCAGTCTGAGAGCTGACAAACACTGACTGGGAACACAGATAGGGAAATAGTACTGTACAGTAAAGTAACACAAACAGTGTATGATAATATAATTTTCATTTTTTTCCCCTCTCTAGAGTTTTCTGTATCAGTGTATAGGAGTGACTCTTCAACAGTGTTTCAATAATGAGATGGTTAAAAAACAACTGCAGGAAGTCCTCCTCACTGCACGACACAGTGACGCTGTCGAAAGAGAGGTACTGTCTGTCTGAAACCTGAGGTGTTCTGTCATGGTTTCTTTGGTGATGAGGTTTATGGGGGGAAAAAAGTTTTCATACCTGGGCAAGTTTATTGTCTAACTTTTGGTTTCTCTTATCTGTATCTGTCAGGGAGTTGCAATGGGCGTCGGCCTGTGTGCCAACAGCCACTTGGAGGGAACTCTAGCCAAACTACATGAGTTTGGAAAATCAGATGCCTTCAAGAAGTCACCAAGCATCTTCAACCTCCTGAAAGTACAAAGAACTAACGATTACAAACACCTACTAGAGGCTTTGTCTGGCTATTCATGTGACAGTAGCTCTGTTTTAAACTGTGTCTCTCTCTCCTTTGCTTTCTTTCCTCAGGATCGTAATGAGGTTGAGGTAGAGAAGGTCAAAAGCACATTGATCCTGTGCTATGGTCACGTGGCTCTGAACGCACCTCCAGAAAAGATACTGAACCGCATTGATCAAGACATCCTGTGCTGCATCAGTAAACACTTCAATACTAAGGTAATGTACAACCCCAAATCAGAAAAAGTTGGGACATATGTAAAATCAAGATTAAACTGAAAATAGTGATTTGTAAATCATCTATGTCCTGTTTTACACCGAAGACAATACAGCAGCACATTATTTGATGTGATACCTCATCAGGTTTATTCTTTGTGCAAAATAAACACTCACTTCAATTCTGATGCCTGCAGCACATTCCATACAAAGTTGGCACCGTTGCAGTTCAGAGCTTGCGGTGAGGTAAAACAATGAAATGATGATTCCATTTGAAACAGGTGTTGCAGCATCAAAATTGAAGTGAGTGTTTATTTTGCACAAAGAATAAACCTGATGAGGTATCACATCAAATAATGTGCTGCTGTATTGTCTTCGGTGTAAAACAGGACATAGATGATTTACAAATCACTATTTTCAGTTTAATCTTGATTTTACATATGTCCCAACTTTTTCTGATTTGGCATTGTAAATTTTGAGGGAACATGGCAGGGTTAACATAGGAGACTGTGTTGTTGTAGAGTGGTGTTTAGAGTTTGTACATAATAACAAGGGTTGTAGTATCTAGTTTAGACCATAGAACATCATAATGACAGTCACACACTGCTCTGTCCTTGAAGTGATCAGACGATCCACGAAGCACAAGCTGGCACACTGTTAAGGTCTTTTGGTGCATTTTAGCTGATCAAGCTCAGATCTGATTTCATGTGCAGTGAGCAAGCAAGTCATGTCCAAATTATGATTTTTATAAATGTGGTGTTTAACATTGATGATTTAAAATCTGTTTAAGTATAAAGAACAGGGCTACCTGTAATGGAAAGTGAATGCCAGTGCAAATATGTTTACGGTGTAGAATTAAAGTGCTGACACAGCTCATATAAAGCATCCATTAAGCATCAGAATCAGCTTTATTGGCCAGGTGTGTCCTCATGCAAGGGGCAAGTAAACAGTAAACCAGCATAAGGCTGTGTAATATAACAAAATAAGCAGTATTAACAAGCAACAAACATGCAGAATAAGCAGTAAAACAATGCAGACAAAGTAATGTTCATTGTTAAATGGGATAAGTACAAGGTATATTTACAGGTATTGCACTGAGGGTTAAGTCATTAACAGTCATACTGTCGTGGGTCAAGTGTTCAAGTGTTCATCAAGGTGACAGCCTCGGGGAAGAAACTTCCTGAAATCCACTGTCATCTCCACTGTTTTGAGCGTGTTCAGCTCCAGGTTTTTGCGGCTACACCACAGGACCAGTTGCTCGACCCCCCGTCTGTAGGCTGACTTGTCATCGTCTTGGATGAGTCCAATGGCCATTGTATCATCAGCTAACATTAGGAGCTTGACAGAGGGGTCCTTCGAGATGCAGTCATTGGTGTAGAGTGAAAACAGCAGAGGGGAGAGCACAAATCCCTGGGGGGCACCTGTGCTTATTGTCCGGGTGCTGGATGTGGGTTTCCCCAGCCTCACCTGCTGCTTCCTGTCTGTCAGAAAGCATGTAATCCACTGATAGGTGGGGGCCGGCAACGGGTGAGCTGGGTTAGTTTGGAGTGGAGGATGTCCGGGATGATGATGTTGAATGCTGAGCTGAAGTCCACAAAGAGGGCCCATGCGTACGTCCCTGGTATGATATGCTACAGATGGACACTAATAGAGCAGGAATCATATTTTTAAATATGGTACCTACAGATTCTTGGAATGAAGTGATGACACATTGTTTCAGTCACAACATGCCTGTTATTGAGTCAGCAACATACACTGCAACACAGTGTTTGACAGCCAGTTGTGGTTGACCATGCAAATATCTGCAGATTACAGGGGTGCGGTGAGAACCCTAAAATCTCCTGTTTCAGAAGAGCTAGAACAAACTTTATAGTGACCAGGAGGGGGAGTGAAAGTTTCATTTATTGACAGCAAATATGCTGGAGTGCACAGTTTTTGGATATAAAGTGGACCCTGGAGCTTTTCCCACTATTTACTAACTATTTAACTAGTGCATACAGGACATACCATTGTTTATGTATGGCTCCCTGGTAAGCAACCTGACTGAGTCCCAATAGTTAGCCTGCTGCTAATAACCCAAGTCTCCTTGGTCTCTGTTACTAGATTACATTTTGGATCAACTCAGAAAAATAAAGACATGCTGACATCTTGTCAAACTCTCACAGCCTGTACTGTAAATACACTTACACATTTTGCTTAGACCTGTTTTATACAGTTAATGCTATGTAACAGCGTAAACCCAACGTGGCTATGGTCACCACCAGTTACAAGCTGACAACTAATGTTACACAAAAACAAAACGAGAACCAGCCATACTTTCTCAGTAGTCAGTTTTAGTGAACAACTAACTCAGATCAGAGTCTGGGTCTGAATGAGGCTCAGTACAGCTGAATCTCTTCAATATTCTCTTCTGCCATTGTATCCTGATGCACTTCACCGGTCTATCAGGTGAAGCAGCAGCCAGTGTGCAGTACCTCGACTCATTAGGACAACACGGTGAAGGGCAAAAGCCAGACATGTTTTCAGCCCCTTGTCTTGGGTTGGTTGAACTGTTTTGTGGAAAAACTTTGTTAGGTTTCATATTTTTCAAGCAGAGTATTTCTATGGTAATGAAAATGTCTCTGGAGGGGGTCTTTTAAACTTGCAGGTAACCGCACTGTTTGTATGTGAGCTCATGACTTTTTCACCTCTATTTCATACAGGTTCTGGGGATAAAAGTAGAGACAAAGGTATCGTCACTGGAATATCAGGGATGCATTTCTCTGTCTTTTATCCTTGCCAGTTAACGTTTCCTATTTCCTCCCTTTCATCTTCCTCTCCTTTCTTGCTCTTTGAAATGTTCCTTCTGTTCATGTGGTGATCATGTCACTAAAAGCTTGATACAACAAAGCAGCTTAACTTAAAGCTTTCCCTTTACTGTATCTCAATTATATATTTTATCATTAAAATTAATTATTGTAGTGGAGGAACCCTTTGAATTTAAAATGCAGTTAGAGGACTGTATGTTACTTTTCGAACATGTACTGTTATTACCAAGTAAACCAGCTCAAGTTGTATTTAATGTTTCTCTACATTAAGTTATATTGTAGCTTTAAGAACAAAACCAAGAACTACAAATCTTGCAAGATGACTAATTGCTGCAGTACAGTTTGTTGAAATGTAGTTTTAAGTGATATGCCACCATATATTTTGAGTATCAGTCGTTGCATGTAGGACTAAAAAGTTTAAATGCTTGTAATTCCCATACTGATGGAAACTATGACCAGCTTGAATTGAGTCTTTTACAGTGGATTCCAGTCATGACCAATTTTATGCACTGAAAAATCACTCCGTCAAGCTACAGTAGAAACCTTGACTGTTACCTGGCTGATAGAGTGAATGTTTGGTACTCTGGGCTACAGTTTATCACTTTAAATGCAGTGTTCAAAACACTGTCTAGCAAACATGTCATTGGTTTTAAATAAGTGGCCAGTAATATAAAACCAGTAATATGATTACTGTGCTGTGAGTATTGAAAGGCCTCGTTGTTTTACGTTAACATCTACTCAACCCAAACATTTACAACTAGATTTCTCGAGCTCCCAGTGATCTACACTCTCTTGCTTCTGCTTTTCTTCTTTGATTGCTTAATTGTGGATTGTTCTTTAATCTCTCAGCGATGACTCACCCTCAGTGTAAAAGGGTTTTTGGAAGTTTTTGCTGAATCTTAACAGCTCCTCATGTGTCCAGGCCTCGGGCTCCTCTGTCAGTACTTGTGCCAGAGCCTGCAGATGCTTTGGTGTTGAACTGATCTCCTCTCATTTTTGTCTAATTTACTACCTTTCTCCATCCGTCGACATGGAGGATCCATCTGCAATTTCACTTTGATTGATTTAATCAATAGCTGTTCACAGAGTTGTGTCTGCTAACCGAGGCTTCAGTGCACCTGTTTGCATTCCTGATACTATCCTGGAAAATGCTGTCATCTAATCCTCTTCAGCTTTCATTTCCTCTTGACCTAAATCTTTTTAATCTGTATATGTCTGTATATGCCGTTGCCTGTTTTGTATGTCTATTGTCTTTATGTATTTTGTCCACCTGCATTTGTGTTTGTGTTGCCCTAATCCAGGACCTGACTATGAAACTGAGTTTGATCCAAAGTGTTGGCCTCATAGCCAAAGCCATCAGCAAGTGTGTGAAGAATCGAGCCTACACCTTCTCTCGCAAACTAGAGCTTATGACTGTTATTCTGGTCAGTATGGAGACTGGTTAATGGTCAACTTTCAGTCATTTCAGAGCAATTTACAGAGGTGTATGTGTGACAGCAATTATTTTCTGATCTCTCTGGCTACAGGATTTTATCAAGGCAGAGCCAGCAGATTCATTGAAAACTCCAGTACGCCATCTTGTGATGACCACCTGTGCCAACCTAATGTATCCTTCATTTCAATAAGATGACTGGACTCTTCAGTGTAATAGCACAGATGTGATTTTCAGAGTTGTCCCTGATTAATATAAGGCATGTAAAAGAAGAGATGCTCACAATCTGGCACTCCCAATAAATCCAGAGGACCGTACGGTGCTCTTGAAGATGAGCCATAACAAAAGTAAAAAAGTTCTTCAGGCGCTCTGAGATGGAGTAGGTTTAAAAGCCTTTATTTAATCAGGCATCTCAGTAAAAAACATCGACCGGTTTCGACCTCGCCAGGTCTTCATCATGGCGGAAAGATTGTTTGCACCTTGTACTTTTTATAGATGTTACCCTGCAAGTAGTAAAAGTACAGACACTACAGAATAAACCGCACATTCATTGATATCAATATCACACAGAATTCAAATTCCATCAAAATAATATAACCCCCTTGGTGAGCACAGTGTAAGATTGTTATGAAAAGGTACACGGCAGAACACAAACATATGGCATCCCTGAAATTGCTTTCAGTTGAAAGCAATCACTTGTTTTACGACAGTCA